ACTCGTGCAAGTGCTTCCATCAGAGTGAGTTGCGACAGGTGTCAATCATCTTCAGGGACACTGCCAACTGTAATGGTATACAGATTAAACTCAGGGACCTCGTTTATGGCATGAGTGGAGTGTATGGGGGCGGGTGGATCACGTGCATTGTGGCTGCTGTCATGGAAACCATGTTGCTGTGCCGAAAACAACGTTCGAAGGTATGCAGACCAAAGGCGCATTCGTTTTGTTATGAACTCTTGCCTGTTTTTCAAAGTCATCTAATTGCTCACTTTTAATGGGAGTTGACGAAAGTGAAAGAAGGTCAAGGTAGTCAAATATTTTCAAATCTGCCAAAATGAAAAAAAATAAATAAATAAAAATAAAAACATTTATATTTCTTAATTAATCATGGTTTGTTGCCGATCAGAAGTCTACTTTTCTTTACTTTTCTCTTTGTTCAGTCCGTACCAACGCAGTCATCAGATAACCCTTTAAACCCTAATATCAAAATTGAGATTCTCATTTACTGTCCCTATACTTTTTCAATAGAAGTAGTGGGGAGAATTTGTTGAAATATCGATTACACTCATCTTTCCTCATCATATACTCAATTCTCATGACCACTCTGTTTTACAAAGCATTGATATTACAAGGAGAAATTTGATGCAGATCACTCTTAGGGCTTAAAGGGTCACTGAAAGATTGATAATTTTTACCATGATTATGAATTAAAAGTGAATTTAAAAATTTACATACCGCTTTTTAACCGAGAGTAAGGTCATTACAGGGAAATCTCAGTCCGAGGCTGCTCAGTCAATATACCAAGGCATAATAATTATCAGGTAATTATCTAGTTATCCAATGAAATAGGTTCGGACTATTTGTAGCCGGAGCAGATCAAAGTTTTGAAGTTAGTTGATGGTGTCATCGGTTCTAAGAACGTTCTGCCAAAAAATAAGAAATTCTTTCAGAGTTCTGACCTTCAACATTCTCTCGTTCCAGGCCACTCTACACTCCAGATCAGAAGGCGATGGTAAATGCACTGTAAACTCGCGCCAGTCTCAAACGTCACAAACCGATCTTAGCGTTGAAGAAGAGGAAGACGTAGAAATCGGAGCTGCAGAACTGCAGCGTTCTACTATCGAGACACAAACAAGCCAAACACCATCGAACTTTGTGCGAGAGGTTCCTTGCTCACATTACGTGGTCGACCTCAGCATTCCACGAAGAGACTACGTCATCAATTATAACTCAAATTCACGGCATGATCCACCACCACCGTATAGTGAGATGTAGGTCAGCTAAACTGGACATGCGCAGACAAGTGCAGTGACTCAGAGGACGAACCATTTGAGGAGCAAAAGCTGACATTAAACAAACCTAGTCAGTAGTCGACCAAGAAATTCTCTCACATTAGCGACTTTTCGCTCTCGTTAGACCGCTTGCAGCGTCTCTTTTTTTGCCATGACAAACTTAAAGAACACGGCAAATTTCGAGAGAAAGAACTTGCGTGTCCGAATCGCGCGTTCATCAATCAAAAATACGACAAAATGGAGAGCTATCTGCATTGTAGACCCTTGGTAAAAAGCTACTTTAGTTTTTCCCTAAAAACTTAATTTGATATTTGAGAAAATGACAGCAGGATTATGGCACACCTCCTTTAACAGAACAAACAGACATTGGTTTGTCGAAAAAAAACTCTGGAATAGCCCATTTCCGACATGTCCGAGCTGTCCCAATCCTCTGTTTCAAAGCGAGGGAAAGTGCGAGGCCTTTGATATGAAAATTATTTTTATTCTTATGCAAAAAAACTCATTTTCACAAGAAAGGTTTTGCACTTAGCCTCGTTTTGAAAGTGAGAGTTTTTAAAACTCGGACGTGCCCGTTACGAAGGCTTTGATCTCCGCGTCGAGGCGGGGGGAGGAGGAAAATTGTGAATTAGATGAGAAAAGTACTTCTAAACGGAGTTAGATAAATCAACTAGGCTATTAAGTTAAGCTCGCCAGTCTTCGGCATATTAGAATATAACACAAATGTAGGTAGGTTGTACAAAGCTCCAAGGACTGTGTATATAGCTGTAAATAGGAATAGGAAAATGTAATTTTAGTTTTTGGATTCTCAGAGATGTTTTATATATATAGTTTTGAAAATATAGTTGTACATATCAGGTGTACTACACGAACGGATAATTATTAGTACAAGTGGACGATCAATAAGAAAATCTTTCATAACCCAGATAGTAACCTACTGTTATTGCATTAAAATTGACCTAATCAGATGATTTCTACAAGCACCGTAACTGATACAATAAAACGACAATGGAGAATAATTTGGCTTGTTTTTTATTATACGAACAAGAAGTGATTTTGAAAAGCATTTAACTATAAAAAATTGCGATAAAACATTTCTTAAAATCATTTTAAGATTAAAAAATTTGCTAAAAAGCGACGACGTTTCGACGTTAGCTGAACGTCATTATCAAGTCAAAATAAGTTAGTGATTTTTGGTCTATAAATACTAAAAAAAACAACAATAGCTGATTAAAAAATTGTAACGTGAGAAAATATTAACAACAACCTTTTGAGAGAAAGTCAATTCACGGTTTTAAGAAAGTGCCAGAGCAAATTTGATTGTTTAGTATTTGAAATGCTCTTCATCAAGAAGCTTAAGCCCAATTTAAATATTCAGACGGACTCCATATGTGCGAAACTCTTTGTTTAATATTTTCTCACGTTACAATTTTTTAATCAGCTATTGTTGTTTTTTTTAGTATAGACCAAAAATCACTAACTTATTTTGACTTGATAATGACGTTCAGCTAACGTCGAAACGTCGTCGCTTTTTAGCAAATTTTTTAATCTTAAAATGATTTTAAGAAATGTTTTATCGCAATTTTTTATAGTTAAATTGTTTTTTATTGTATAGGAAATTAAGTGCTCTGGACGATTGGAGATTACTACGCTTGAACAAAGAGCACCTAGTTTTCAGTCTTACCCTGGCAAGCGCAATCTTTCAGGAAGGTTCCCATATACTTCCCATGATACCTGGAGCTCTGTTTTTCGCTCCACAGCGACACTTGGGAACGAGACAAGCTAGCAAGGTTGCTTTCACTATCGGGGCAGAAATGTTACTAATGTCAAGTCTTTAAGGCTCTTAATAAGAGTGCGAGGTGTGATGGGAAGTGAAAATAAGAGAACTTCTCAACTTGTGTCTTCCCATCACCACTTGGTACCCAGCCTCGCGCTTTATTAACTCAGACGTCGCCTCTGGAAATTCTACCCGGAAAAACGCCTCAGTTTTCTAGCCAAAGAGAACCCAAACGCTGCCAATAAGTCGAGCATTACGCTGCCTTTTGTTTTATTCTTGTTTCCAGAGCCCGTCAGTGGTTAGGTGGCCTTGAAAACTCGTCTGTTACAACTTAAGCCGAGTGGCACTGGGAACGAGAATGCCGTCTATTCCTGATGTCCGAAGTCCGGGCATGCGCAGGAGGCAGAATTTGGAGAGCTTTCAAGACTTCTCTTAGTTCACGCTTCTATTGCCTTTCTTTTGCTGGACATTCACTTGGCTTTATTTCAGTGGAAAAGTTCCCGCAAAAGATGGATGGACTACAGCCTGTATTTTTGCCTAGATCAAGAACGCGGTCAGAGGAAAGGCCTGGAGTGAGGGTGAAAACGGAGAGTGAGACTGGGGACAGACACGCCACACACACGCCTGAGGCCCACGCTCGTCGCACGAAAATATCGATCACACCGGCGCTTCGCACCTTGCAAAACAAATTATGAGGAAAAAAAACTACTCTATTGCAGTTTAAAGGAAGGAGGGACGGTAACGTTCGGCTCCTCTTGAGGTATGGCAAAATAGGCGACAAAAACGTGCAACTTGTTTTGCGACATTGCTGCAAAATGAGGCCTAGGCCAAACGTCGAACTTTTCACGAGACGAACCAAACTCTAGTTTGGGTCGACCTAAATTAAGTTAGGGTCAGACGTCGAGCTTAGAACGCGTCGAACCAATCAACTGAATCAGGTCAAAAAGCAATTTTATGATCAGCAATAAATTTTCTCCCGAACTACAATGGAAGTCAAAAGTGTTGGGACCTTTCCAGTGATATTACTAAAACCAGTGACCCCTCCCCTTCCACCCCCAAACAAAGTTGAATTTGGAGCAAAGTGGGTGAAAATGAGCGCTTTTTTTGGCCACAACATTGCTAGGGAAAGTGGGGGAACGATGGTATAAACCCAAAGCCGAACAAAAAATTGTCCTTAGGAGCAGGGTCCTACGTAACAATTGCTTGGAAGGGCTTTTCACATAGTCCCAAGTTCTTTTGTCCTCCATTGTATGCTAAATATACATAATCATACAAATTTTGAATTTATCAGTTTAGTTCGTCGCATGTGAAGATCGACGTTAGTCCCGGAGACGATCGTCTTCTATCTGTCTGAAGCAGACGGATAGAACGTGTTGGACGATCCAAACTCATTCAGACGAACTTAGGTGAGCCAGACGTCGAACTTTTCTTAAACTTTACTAAGTTTAGTTCGTCTCATGACTGGTGAAAAGTTCTACGTTTGGCCTAGGCCTGAGTTGAATAGCGATGTGGCGCGTCTTACCACCCCCGAATCAAACCTGTCTTGCAACAAATGAGGGTGTTGCATCTTGTTGTAGAAAGTAGAGAGTAGTTCTACACTCTACTTTTTGCCACAAACTCTGTCCATGTTGCGCGTTTTATTGACCTAAGGTAAACTTGCTTTGCAGGAAGTGACGCCTAGCTCCCGCGAATGGCTTGAGTCCCGCGCAATTTTATCCAAACAGAAGTCGGTATACACACAACTTGCAACAACCTGATTTGTTGCAACGCAATTTTGAACGCGGGTGGTAAAACGCGCAACATCGCCTCGAAACTCGTTTTTTGTTACCCGCTTTACAGTAGCTTTATAGGGGAGTAGTTTTCACGCATTTTTAAACATCTGACCAGGTTTATCAGTCACGCTAAAGACAATAACAACACAAGAAGGATACCTTGTATTTAGCTTTCCAGGGTTTATTTAAAATATATAATATATAATATTCCTTGTACAATGTTGTGTTGTCTTCTTAATATGTTTTCAGAGGACTAAGTATAAAAATTACCCTGGTAAAGTAATTGTCGCCACATTATCATCTTGTTGCTTATAAAAAAATAACAACAGAAGAAGGCAGAAATGAAAAATGCATGTGCATATATTATATATAAGTATAAATTACAAAGGTATAAGCATATGATGAAAATATATTATATAGCACTTATATGAAATCTTTCACCAAGGATTTTTTTTACAAAGGGAGATAAATAACTCTCGCGTATTATGGCATTACAGCATGCATCAATATTTTTTCCATAAAAAGCCGGGCACTTCAAGTACAATTTACCCGGCATATAATTTTTTTGCATTGAGACAATTTGAAATTAACTGCACTTACATATGGGTTCTTTACAATTCAAAGAAGAATTTTGTCCTTCTGCCTGGGAAATTAATGTTTAATCCTATCTGAAACGGTCTCCAGAAAGACCAAAAAATTAAATAATGCTTTGTCAACCAGTGGTCAAGGCATGCAAGACGACGAAGCTCAAGTCTCCATTCAAAGACCCTTTCCAACTCACGCTCTAAAGGTACGTATCCTTGAGAAGGGAATTGCCCAGCATTCCATAGACATTTCGCGGCCTTAAATTGTGTGAGAGAGGCTTTACAATACAAACACATCTTGACCTACTCCCGGACTGAGTTAAGGAGAGATGATCAATAATTCTAACTTTTGAATCTGTGGACGAAATCTTATGGTGTTACCATTCAAATGAAAGCTAATTTTACAAATTTTTGCAAGGTACTACTAATTTCTTAGGGTTTTACAACAAGAAATTTTGAATTTTACTTTGGCCTTTGTTAGGAGTGAAATGGTTTCTGAAAAGGAGGTACTTCTGAGTTCGAGTGTGGAAGGGTCTTTAAACAGAGTTCTAAGGGTTATTAAGAGAGGATATGACTGCTAAATATATGCTATAAACTTTACACAAATTACTGCTTAAGATGCTAAATGCTAATGTACAACTGGTAGAAATATGAAACAATTTCTACTCCAACCAAGGATCTTGCTGTCTGCAAACATAAACCTTACAACTCGATAACCATACCAAAATGCATAATGCGCTTGGTAGGTGAAAATAAAACTCGTACACCGAGCGTCAACTTTCTACCAAGGCAGAAGTGAGTTTCACTATGCAAAAATATCTACATTTGTTGTCAAATGTTCATGAACATGACAGCAGGCTCCTTCGATCTTTTAGCCAGCGTGGCATGCGTTTGGAAGGGAAGGGGAAAGGAAGACAGCGCTCGAGGGAGAAGGGAGGAGAGTAAAGCGTTCCCTTCCCTCCTTCCTCGCACGTACTTCGCGCTTCTAACGCGCTCGAAATCCCTTTTCCCTTCCCTTTCAAACGCCCGCCACACAGGCTCTCTATCTTTCTATCGTTTTCTCTACACATCTAAATACCATGTGAACATGGAGGGTACAGAATGCACAGGACTAGCCACTTAACGTAAAATTACCGTAGTAATAACATAACTTCAGTTTCGTTTACTATTAACATTATCTACAAGACGGTGACCAGATATGTCATTGGAGTTACACGTTATGAGTGATATTTTGTTGTATTATTGTCTAGAGCTTGCTGTACTACTCGACAACAAAACCTACTACTACCATCTATTAAATTCTTTGTCATAAAACTCGGAACTTGGTATACAGTGTATTTCTTAATGGCAGCGTTTACACTTGGTGTCCTGGCACGATGCCCGAGTACGGTGCTCGCATCGTACTAATGTGAACACACGACTTTTTCCAAGTACCCACGCTAGAATAGAATTAGGGAAAAAAAAGTGGGCACCAGGTCCCGGTATGCACCTGCTTTTGTTAGTTCAGCTGGGGCAGTCCACTGGGGTACTCGCTTCTGAGCTCAAGTTTCAAAATGGCAGCAGAAAAGGGGAAATGGAGTAAACATGCACACAGTCGCATATAGGCTACACAAGGTGTGTGCACAACTCCATTTTGTGCCGGTAGTGGGTACCCAGGCACTGGTCACGGGGCACCAAGTGTGGACAGCTCCAAGATTACCTTCACGGCTAAAGTAAAATGTTATGCATAAGAAACGATTGCACTTCGCGTCGAATTTTATACCAGGCCTTGATAACTGTCTTAAATGCGTAAATGTAACTAAGTTAATCAATATTATTACATCATATAAAACTTACATAACACAAGTGGCATAGGAGACCTGCTCAATGCAGTGTTATATCTTCTACCTGATACACATTATACCGATCACGTGGTTACAACTGAGTTAAAAGAGGACTGACGGAGGGATGAGCTGCTCCATGAACGATGAGCGCAAATTCAGGTTTGGTTGCCATGTCAACTCAAACACTCCGGATCAATGGATCTTTTTAGCTTGTATGTTTCGTTTTCCCAATTAAGACCACGTGATGTTATCTAGGGAATTTGCCTCTTTGTTTTTTCATTAATTATGCATACATATGCACGTGGATGCACGTTTGAAAGAAACAGTTCTCTGGGGTACTATCACCTGGTCTGAAACGGGGAAAAAGAAAACACTACCTAAAAAGGTCTATTTGGGTTTCTGGGTAACCTCCCACCTACCCCTCCCCTAAGCCAACATTTTGCCCTTTGTGGAAGGAAGGTTTAAGGCTTAAGTACAAGTTATGTTAACAACGCTAGTATCCACAATCGAAGAAAAAATATAACAGGAATTTGTGCAATAATTATCAAACAAATTGTTACAATGCGAACAATATAGTGCAGACCGACAGGATTAAAGATTAGAATGCACGCGATGATATAACTTGCGGATTATTCCTTTCCAAGCATTTTTACCTTCAAGTTTTTATATATAACAGTTAATGGATAACGCTTAGTTAATGGAATTATTTTGGTCTGGTATGCTATGGTTAGGAAAGAAAATCGAAAACTGAGTGTGACTAGACTGGTCGCGGGTACTGTTCTAACATTGATGTCCTTAAAGAGAACCATAATTGATAATCAGCGGGTATAATGTTCGTTTTAAAAAAAGTACGAAAGATTCCACGAATTGAATTTTTAAAATCAGATAGTAAAAATGGTGTAAAATCATGTAATGTGCAATAAGGTTATTTTCTTCGTTTTAAATACGGTAAAGAACCAATTTTGTATTAAGTTTAAATGCTCAAACTGGCGGTACACTCGTAAAGGTATAATTCAAGAACCTTGTAGAAGGCCACATTGGTCCGAACAGGAAGAAACTCTGACTGCTTTTTGTTGAAAATATTTAAAAAAACGCTTTAGATTCAAGAGATACAGGCACATCACCTCAGTTTAAATATAAATAGATCACATTGAGTAGTTTTAATAATTTTTGATTGGCAACAAATATAAATATATTTCAGCTTAAATATTAAATACAGTTATAGCGATTTCAGTGGCCTTCACCAGGGTCAGATTGTAAAATAAGTAAAAAATAAGTTATCTGCAATGCGAAAGCTGAAGGCTGATTTGATTTTGGTCCGATAAATCAGATAAACGATAGTCAAAAGTATTATCTGCAAGATATCTCAGATTATCAAGTCCAGTATTTTTTGGCCTGTCAGAAACGGGCAAAAGGATGCGATTATCCTCAGAATTATTGTCGCCGATGATAATGATGATGATGATGATGATGATGGTTATACTTATAATAACATTGTATTGGTTTAATAACTAAAAGATCTAATAAATTGCCATGGCACGCAAAGAAAGCAGAGCAAAAGCTCACGTGGTCAACAAGGTCATCTCCGGCCTCGCTTCTGTTCAGACGCCAAGACACACAGCACACAACCGTAAAATGGCCTTTTAAGCAGCCTAACTGTCACTGTTGGGACTATACTGAGGATTAAACCTAGTTGAAATTATCCAAAGTTGACGATTATGCGCGAGGATTTATTTGACCCCACTAGACATCACGCACCTATATTGCTGGTTTACATGTGACGCTACGGCGGCCATGTTGGTGATCAAGAACAAAAGCGGGTAGTGTATCATGTAAGCTTTCCGCAAAGTGTCCCGACCATCTGTGAGGGTTAGATTTAAGTAAATTTTTTTCGAGCAGTGAACAAGCACAATTCCGAGCAATGGACGGGTGGGGGTTTGCATGCATACTTGCACAGATGCTCGGGACACCTCGCGGAAGGCTTACATGATGAACTATTCCCAATGCACTTCTCTCCTCTTGGAGCTAAACACCATTTTCATGTAAATTCTTCAAAAAAGAGTATTTTTTCACCACCAACATGGCCGTCTCGTCACGTGGTTGCAAACCAAGAATTTCTCCACCAACAATAGTAAGGTCTTTATCTTCTGTGACCTTAAAAATTGAAATGACAATGCAAAAATAGTACAAAATAAGATTTTGCTATAAAAATTATCGTTACGGCATTTAAGTCATATTTCTCAAACTCAATTCCGTTTAAAACATCAATAATTTTTTAAAGTTGTTTCAATACCCTCCTGGCTAAAACTGTAGCTCGGGATAATAAATTTTCAAACGGGCAAAGAACTAGCTTTTAAGAATAAACGGGAACTAACAACACAGACCAGTTCTGTGTGTTCATTGATATAATATTATGTAATATTAATAGAAATTATGTAATAAAACTGTGATAGGGGGAAATTCATACGTCAACAGATATGCTCTGCTTGTAACTTCTTGATGGAGCCTGAAAGAAGACGGAAAAGACAGCGAAAGAGTAAGATTAGGATGGCTGAGCGACACTAAGCAACGGATAGACTAGACGGAGTTGCTTGAAACAGCTGACTTTTCGCGACGTAACCACTGGTTTCCACGCGAAATAACGTCAGAGAGACGAGCGCAGAAGTTCCATTCTGATGACGCGTCACTAACCAGATCTGGGTAGTGCTTCTGATTAGTAGTGCCGCGAGGGAAATATGCTTCAACCAAACCAGCTTTAAACAGTTTGTTTTATAACGCACGTATGTAAGTATCAGTAGGTAATATGTTATTTTTTTAAAAAATTAAGAAAAAGGTAGCCTGCGCTACAGATGATACTACACTCTGGTTAAGTCCGTCTGCGAGACAGCGCCGAAATTCTTGTTCTGGGCCCCGCCTGTGTATCACGATTTGAGTACGCACAATGATAGGCTTTCAAAAAATCCATCGTCAATTTGCCGATCAGGTTGAAAGAAAATTCGAAACGCATTTCTGGTAATTCACCGAGTCCGTTGGGGCCTAGTCTGCGTTGCAGCCGGCCCACGCACTTGTCTTAACCATTTGTATAGTCCTAAGCTGACTGTAAGGTCACGTTTCACACCATCACGAGCTCAATCTCTCTTGTCACGAGCTATTAATCGTGTTTGGCCTGTCAACACTTAAATTCAAATCGGACTAATCACAAACTGCGTAAGAAACTAGCCAATCAAAAACGGCGACATATGTCATTGCGACTCTGCGGGATTCGAACACGATATTGTGTGACGCTCTGTACAGAAGGTTTAGAGCCTCTGCGACGCTAGTCTGCTACACAGCCGTTTTTAGTGTCGTCACGCAATGTGGGGAAGAGCGTTGCGTGACGACTCTAAAAACGGCTGTGTAACAGACTAGTTGGGGTCCGGAACAAGGATATCGGCGCTGCTTCACCCTGCAGACGTTACTAACTGGTGTTAAATTACGTCTTCGACGCAGGCTAGAAAAAGAAAGAGATGCCAATTATGGTCAAATAAAAGAAGTGGAAGATTTGAACGAAATCCTCACATCTTACGGGAATAAGGAGGATTTCTTGAGAAACGGATGCAAAATAAACAAGGGTCCCGATAAACTAAAATTAAATCCATGACAATAATATAACCAAATATGAAAAGGCAGATACGTGAAAAACGAACTACGCAATAAAATTACCAAATAACAGTCCTTAGCATGTAATTGAATCGAGCCAAAGATTTGCAGTGCTTTGCTGAGTCCGGGAGCTCATTGTAGGTACATAATTGATTTCTTTCTAAATTCAGTTTGCAAATAAGAGAGTACGAAGGACAATCAATCACACCTGTATCCTTGTTGAGTGATCTTCTCTTTGCGATTCAAAAGACGTTTTTGACGATGAAGACACATAAATGTGACAATCTGTTCCAAAAAAAATGATGTAAAAAAATGATGAAGTGAGGGGAAAAGACAAAACAAGTGAAGTTAAATAATTGCGGAGATAAATGAAAACAATGGGATTCAGAAGAACGAAGCTAAATTGGCCGAGTAAAGAGGAAGTATCTCACTGTCGTGTAGCCTGCGAGCGAGCTCTCCACCCTCGCACCCACGTCTCCTTTCGCGTGCGGCTCTCGCGTGACTTCTCGCGAGTCCACCAAAAGGAGAGCTTCCTCGCAGGCAAATTGTCGTGCGCTGTGGATCAGGAAAGTGAATAAACTGTAGGGGGTCGTGGATGAATGATGAAGTAAAGTGTGGGTAAAAAGTTGTCGTCTTACAGTGCGGAAAAACAAAAGATTCTCTAGACTGCAAAACAGTCCGTATTTTTGCGTATTCATGTACGCGCGAGCAGTCAAACAAAAGGTCTGGAACGAGGCTGAAAACAGAGAGCGAGACCTGGGGAGAGACGCTAAAAGAGACTCGCGCGCTTTGCGCGCGTAAGACTCTTACGGCACGCTTTACCGATTTCTTTACTGATTTTGAGAAAAAAAAACGACTGTTTTGCAGTCTAAAGATTCTCAAGTTTTCTTTTTTTGCAAACGGACCAATAACATAAATTTGAGGCTTGTTTCCTGAGGGGTAAGGTAACTTCAAATGGTTTTAAAGTTTTCAGCGATTGCATAGTTGAACCTTGAATTTTATTGGTCCGTTTGCAAAAAAACTTGAGAATCTTCTGTTTTCAGAAAAAGTTGTGATTGGACAATCTTCTTCCAAGTGTACTGGTTTGAGTGTCCGCACTGTAAAATTGGGGCGGGTCAGTGTCGCAGTCAGTCAAGTGTCGCAGCTCTTGTGTTAACTGTCGTATTGTTGTGTATCCAGGGTTACAAGGGATTAAGTTACGAGAAATATCACGTAAAAAAACGCACCTCTACTGTTGCTTAGATCTTGATGGCTTGAGCTCCCTTCACTGCAAAGACAAATTAGGCGTTTTTACACTCTAAACTGAATTTGTGATACCAGTTTCTTCTATCTCGCTTTCGACTGCATCAGTTTGTTTAGAAACCAACCCATTTGTCATTTGACTGTTAAAACGTGGTTATACTTTCATTACGACGTGTATGTCAGGAAAACATTAAAACCACCTTCAAAAAGCCTGCTGCCTGACTCTTTGCAGATCAGAATTGACCCCACGCACCACAGACCCTGGTCACTGGGGTCCTTTCGCTTGGAAAATAAAATTACGGCGGGAAAGAATATACGAGACCCGACCACGTAGGGAAGAATGTATGAAGAGTAGGTAGAGTGGGATCGTCCGGGAGAACGTAGTCCTGAATAGGACTGTTGTTGACAGTGACTGACGTTTCGACAACCTGTGCGGTAGTCATCTTCAGGGTCGTCTTGGGACGGCTGAAATACCCACGAGGAATAAAAAACATATGTTATACAAAATTTAGGCCCCGTCCACACGTATCCCTTTTTGCTTGAAAACGGAGATTTTTTTCATCCGCTTTGGCGTACCGCCCACACGTATCTGATGAAAACGGTCACCCAAAACGCATCTTTTCAAAGACCCTCTCCAGAGTGGAGATTTTTGAAAACGCCGGCTTCTCGTTTACGTGTGGACGGAAGAAAACGGAGGTATTCGAATACGATGATGTCGTATACCATATACTACTAGCATTACGCATGCTCCGTAAGGGATGCTATCGTATCTCCATCGTCGTAGCGTTTGATCTGGACAGGCGAAAAATATTCGCATACGCTACGTGCGGACGGAGAAAAACATCTTCGTTTTCAAAAAAATCCGGGTACGTGTAGACGAAACCTTAGAGGAGGGCAAACAAGGTGTATTATGCCTGACAAAGATAACCGGTTTCACAAACTGGTCGTACAAGTTTAGTTCATTACCTATCTGGCTCTTGTGGTTTATTTGGAAACACACTCGGTGTGATGGGTGTGGTGCTGTCACTGCTACCTGGTAACTTGTAACTGGCTCTTACCTGAATAAAATGGAACAATAAAAAAACTATCGACATGTCCTCCAAACTATAGAAACATTGCACCATATTTCAAATTAAAAACGCTTATAGGGTAACTTGTACACAGATCCCCCGCGGTTTTATAAAGAAAAATAGAGGGTCTGTGAACAGGTTAGCTTGAAGGAACACGACAAAATGTTTTATAGTTTATGCTGGGCTTAAAGCTCCTTACGTTCGCTGGAAAGTACAGTATGAATTTTACAAAGTATTCTCACCATTGAAGGTCTTAAGGGCCATCCAGGACTTGCTGTAAAGAAAACAAACAATAAAAAGACAACCGGCATCAAGAACTGAACGGTTCGTAAAACATATTGGCAACTTTTTTTCTTAACTCGCTCTCTCTTTTCAAATATACTTATTGACTTGGACTCACCATGCGTGTTAGAAACCACCGCAAACGGACACGTGAGGCTAGTTAATGGGGCTATGTGAAGAGGATATTGTCAGTTTAGGTCAATTATTTGCTTAACCCTTTAAGCCTTGAGATCAAAATTTGAATTCTCATTTGTTGCTCCTATTAATTTCTCATAGAAGTAGTGGGGAGAAGTTGATAAAACATCAAGCAAATTCATCTTGCGTGATCATGTCCGTAATTCTCATGACCACTCTGTTTTACAAAGCATTGAAATTATGAGGAGAAATTTGATGCTGATCACTCTTGGGGCTCAAAGGGTTAAGTCACAACTTAGTGTCTTTATCCATACAAAAAATGCTCCAGTAGAGTAATGAGGAATATCTCAAACAAATTTCATCAGGGTGCACTCACTATCAAAATTTTTTGGGTGATTTTTGCCGGAATAGCATTAAAACTTGGAAAAAGTTGGCCCATTTTTACAGTTTTAATCCATGTCCATTTTTGCCATCCATAGCAACAAACGACAGGAGACAGTTTAAATGCCTAAATAAGTCTTAAATAACAAGACTGGGCCATTATTTTTGGAATAACTTTTTAGCGGAGCTCCACGCGCGCTAGAAGCGCGCGCGAGCGAAGACTCATGCACAGCTAAGAAAATTTTGTCAGCTAATCCTCTGGAAAATTTTGGTGGTCATGTGACCGTCCGTCCGTCCGTCCGTCCGCACCACAGGGTAGCTAGAAAGTGTGAGATTTCACATTGTTTAGTGTGGGAGCCTGCACCCTGATATTACATATCCATGTTGTGGTCAGTTGACAGCTGTCAAAACAGAGTATCGGCTGACCAGTATCACATGACCATATCACGGGCTCGGGTGCCGACCCATCGAGGTTTGTTTTTTGTAAAGTTATTCGCTGACAAGTTAATAGTTTTCAACTGATCGCAGGTTCAACTCCAAGTGGATAGTAGATAGCGTGAAGTCGCCAATTTTGAAAACCAAAACAATATGGTAAAACTGACCTCCACAGGTACACCTGCATTGACACATTCCTGAACTGCCTGTTCCCTCTGTTGATCCACTGCCAACTGTAATCTGCTGAAGAAGTGACGTAGGAAGCGATTCTTGCCCATTAACAAGCATATGTTTTTTTCCGTTGTTAACTGCTGCTTGCCTGAAAAAATAAGAACGATTGTAGATTAGTAATAGCCAATGGTTGGGGAGTGCGGGAGAGGTCGCAGCTCAAAACGCTGTGGCTCCAACCTGGTGCTTTGCCTGAGATTCACGTGATAAATAATGGTAATTGAACTGAGTGGAGTGCAATTTGGTCTGAAATCATACGCGTGATTTTAAATTGGACGGGCGCGCAGCGCGAGTTCCATTTGAGACCACAAATATGAATTCAGACCAAAATTGCACGACATGAAGTTCAATTACCACATTATTACGGCCATTTTGAAATCGCAGAATCCTGTCAGTACCAATATTTATTTGACCTAGTAGCCGGTTTATCGAAAAGCCGAAGCAAAAAGGCTTTTACATCTCATTTTATACCCGAAACAGAAGTGATGTAATATAGAGCCAAAATGGTGCGATTTAAAACAGAAATGATGCAATTTAGGACATGAATGACACGATTTCGAACAGATGTGATTTAGAGCTAAAAATAGTGCGATTCGTGAATAAATCACACTGAGGACAGCCGATCAGACAACAAGGATTTCAAAATGGATATAATAAAAGGTCAAATCACGCGTGATCAGATCGCTCTTCTTAGCATTGCATTTACTCTTAGTCTGGCTGCAAACGTGCCGCACATGCGTAATGCTATAGCAACCTCAAATTAGGTTTGCGGGCTCCTCTGGTCGCCCGTAACAAACATACATTTGTTGCAAGCCACCTAAATTCAGATAAGACGCTTGAGTGCAAACAAAAACTCTTGCACCCGTCTTTATTTTACTCAGTATTTATGGGCTTAAAAAATTGCTACTGTCGTCAAATGAAATGCCGTTTCCCCTCTCATATAATAAACCTTGGTTATAATCCTAAACAACTTAGAAGAGGGAGTGGGGAGGGAGCTTAACTTGTTCTGTTTAGAAGAGGTGACAAAATGGAAAAAAAATTATATATTTCCTAGAGTAAGCACCCGAGCGCTTATTTCAAATTTCAGCTGAAAGAATGGGCGCTTATTCGAAGGACGGCGCTTATTGGGTTTTCCTTTAAAAGGAACTAGAGAATGGTCTAGTTGTTCCCGGGAAATTTACGGCATTTACCAAGAGCGACGCAATAGGAGAAAAATTAAAAGAAGAGATAACGCACATGAAGGAGCTTTGCAAGCACATGGATACAGAAATAACTGGAAGTGACCGTCTCAACAGAGTTTGTGGCATGTAGCCAATCATAACGCACGCGGGAATTTGCAAATAACATAACCACTTGACCAACCTGCATGGATTTCTCCATATTATGAACAGCACAAGCACCACGACACAAAAAGCACTTATTGTGCATCCAATGATAACACCAAGTTTTATATTGAAACTGGGATCATTACTCTCTATTGCTGAATATGTGGGATCTTCTGTGGCATTTGGACTCGCTCCTTTGTAAGGGAAACAACACTGCTTAGTTGAGATATTAACAGGATGAACAATCAACATGTGCCAAGAGCACTGCCAAAAGAATACAAGTTCTATTCATTTTGCCAACATAAGAGGTGATAGGCTGACACCCTTGTATCTTAAGTTTTGCATGGGAAAGTGAAACCCCAGTTTCTTTGGAAAAGAAAAGAGGCTACTCCGTACTCACAGTTTAACCCTTTACAGCTTAAGAGTGATTAACATAAAATTTCTCCTTGTAACATTCAATGATTTGTGCAACAGAGTGGACATGATCGCACAAAATGAGTTTGCGTGATATTTCATCAACTTCTTAGGCAACAAATGAGAAATTTGATTTGAGGGTTAACGTATTTTACGTTTAAGAAGAAAAATCTACCTCGCACTTTTGTAGAAACCTCTATGACCTCTGACCATTTCCCTGGAGTATTATCAGCATATTCAGCACGGAGTTTGACGTAGTACGTCTTGTCCTGATCTACATTCAATACAGTACTTTGGAACCATTCTTCGGGGCTTGAAGCAACTGACAGCCTCTTCCATCGATCTTCCCGGAGATGAAAGTTGTTTGTGAGGAGAACGGTGAAGCTTGTAAGCAATGTGCTTAAAGTTTTAGGCCAAGTCCACGAAAGTTTGACTTGTTTTGGTGACAAAATACTAAAACTGACGTTTGGAGGTGCTCTGCCTGAGGTCACACTAGGAGGTTGAATCTCTACCATGTCACAAAAGGGTCCATAATCTTTCTCATTTGCAAGACGCACCTTGATATAAAATATTTTGTTTTCTTGAATATCGTTCAAGGCGGTAGTATGGCCCTTCAAGAAGGTGGCAGGAAATTGCAAAGACCTGCTTTCAACCTCCCATTCTGATTCTGGTAATGACTTATTGTATGTGTAACGAATCTCAAAACTAGTAAGTTTGCCGTTCTTCCTGAGAGGAGAGTCCCACGTGATGTGTACAGTTGAGAGACCCACATACTCATATTTAATATTTCTTGGTGCTGTAGGCCCTAAACAAGAGAAAAAAAATATCTAAATCACATTATAATTTCTTTAAGTTATCCTCTCCTCTTACGTGGCTTTTCAGGAATAATGAACCAATACCGTAAAATTCCGAAAATAAGCCCCTCCAAATATAAGCGCCCCAAACCGGTGACAGAAAAACCCCTCCGTTAAATCGCCCCTCCTAATATAAGTCCCCCGGGGGCTTGTACTTGGAAAATTGCTCGCAAAGACAAAGTAAAACAAATCAAAAACGGTGAATTTACTTCCAACTATAAGGCTAGCCCAATCGATTTTGAAACGC